TGTTAACCTTTGCCATGTTTGTGCTATTTACCTCCTCTTCATTTTTTTTTCTAGAATGATTTCATCCCCTTTTACCTTAAATACTTTCAGCATGTAATTCTGAAGAACAAAGACATTCTCGTACATAAGCAAAAGTACAACTATCAAATTCAGGAAATTGAACATCGATACAATATTATTATTTAGTTTACACTCATGTTCAAATTTCATCAATTGTCCCCATAATAGGGCTCCTGGGTGGCTCAGTCAGTTGAGCAACTGCCTTCAGCTCAAGGTTGTGATCCCAGGGTCCTAGGATGGAGCTCCAAGTGGGGCTTCCTGCTTGGCAAGGGAATCTGCTTCTCTCTCTCCCTCTGCTCCTACCTACTCATGCTCTCTCTCTCTTTCACTCATTCACTCTTTCTTCCAAATAAATAAATAAAATCTTAAAAAAAAAAACCCTGTCCCAATAATATCCTTTTTAAAAATTGTGGTTAAAAGAACTCACATAACATAAAATTTACCGTCTTAACCATTTCTAAGCATACAGTTCAGTAGTGTTAAACACATTCACGTTGTTGTGCCAACAACATATTTTATGGCAATTGTTTACCTCCATCCAAGACCACACATTGCATTTAGTTATCTTGTCTGTTTTAGTTTCTTTTAATCTGGAACAATTCCCCAGCCTTCCTTTGTTGATGACTTTTATGACATAGGTGTTTTGAAAAGTGTAGGCCAACTGTAACTTTGCATTTGGCGATGTGATTTTATAATAAAGGAGCTAGTATTGAAGATATGATGAGGATCTTAATAAACAGAAACAGGAAAATGTCTGTAGTATTTTTTCCTCCAGTATTTGGTAGAAGGAGGATCTAGAATCTATCCCTTCTGTTATAATGCCTTTGGGCAACACATTAGATACTTGGGATGATGGAAACGTTCTGCATCTTGTATCAATATCAGTATCTCATCAATATCAGCATCTCATTTTGCAAGATGAGATCTGTACATCAGGGGATCTCTCTATATTATTTCTTACAACTGCACATGAACCTACAATTACTTCAAAATTAAAAATTTAACTTAAAAAAATGTTTTTTGGTATTTCAGAGCAGAAGGGTCAACCTTTCTCTGAGGAAGAACCTGGCCCCAAGGTGAAATTCCCAGCGGGAATCCTCATGCCTGAGAAAGGACTTCTTAATGAGCTCCTTTCACTTGCAGGGGTGGGGGGAGGGGCGCCTCCTTTGCCCTCAGCAGGGACATTTTAAAGTGAATGAAGGGAGCAAGGTCCCTCATTAAGGCTGAAATGGGAGCTGCTGGGGGCGGGGGGTTCTCTAGAAAGGCGGCCTGGCCTCAGGTCTGCATTTCCTGCGGCAAAGTTATCACATTAACAATAATCACCCCCCCCCCTTCATCCTAGAATGGACTGTGAAGGAGAACATTGGAAAGACCGTTTTTTACCTATTGTTTTCGTTAACTGACAAGTTCTTAATAAAAACTGAAAAACTGTAAAGACCTAAATAGGCAACCATGGGGATTAGTTATGAGCATTATATTCTCGCCAGTAGAATAGTAGACAGCGTCTTATGATCATGTTTACATAGCATTTATAATTGAAGCCAAGAATGGCATTGTCTGAGATTTTGAGGTTTCCTTTAGAGGACTTGGGATTGTCCTCAAGGTTTAGAAGAGCTAGGTTGGAAGGAGAGGGGGAGGGACGCCTGGGTGGCTCCGCGGTTAAGCGTCTGCCTTCTCGGCTCAGGCTCAGGGCGTGATCCTGGAGTTCCAGGATCGGTCCCACATCGGGCTCCGTGAGTGGAGCCTGCTTCTCCCTCTACCTATGTTTCTTCCTCTCTCTGTGTCTCTCATGAATAAATAGATGGAATCTTAAAAAAAAAAAAAAAAGGAAAGAGATGGGAGATGCTTTCAAGAGCGTCATCATGGGAAATGAACCTGCCACCAGATCCCTATTCAGGGCAGGGTGAAATGCTAATTTCTGGTTGTTCTCAGAGTGATCAATCATGGTCCCTACCTAGGAAGGTTGGCCATTCTTGCTATTTAGAACCCAGTTAGTCTGAACATGACATTCCTTGACCCTTCTAGGAATTTCCCATAAAGAAATAATCAGATGTGGGGGAAAAATGTGTACTGGGATGCTTATTGCCATATTCTCAACATAAGATTGAAAAATTGGCATAATAATAACAAGCATTTACTGAGCACTTACCATGAGCTAGTTGCTGTGTATTTTATGAGCATTGTCTCATTTCATCCTTTCAAGTAGGTTCTATTATTGTCTCCATTTTTACAAATGAAAAAAGAAATGGAGGCACAAAAAGCTTAGTAATTTGCCCAAGACAACATTATTAGTGAGGGAGACAGATGTGCAAATGACAGCAATAACACAATGTGATAAACATTAAAATAAAAAAAATAAAAAAATTAAAATAGAAATAATATGAGCGACAATAGACAGTGCAAAGTATTATTATCTATATTGTCTATTCAGATGCTTCAAATAAAGTCTGGCACATGGTAAGCATCTAAAAATGCTTGTTTTTATTTATACTTTAAACCTGAAAGTGCCCAGGAGTCACCTGGAGACTGTTAAAATGTAGATCCTGAATCAGCAGGTCAGGGTGGGTGGGAGGGAGCTACAAATCTGCATTTCTAACAAATTCCCAGATTCCTTCAAGGACCACACTTTGATTATCAGAGATTAAACAGGGTGGGGAAGGAGGAAGTTCTGAATATGTAAAAACAAAACAAATCACACAACCCCCAAAGACCTGTGACTTGGAAGAAAACTAGAAGGCAAGACAGCTACTGTGTTACTACAGTGTTGGACAGCAGCTTCCAGTGAATTTCTTTCTCTTTCTCTCTCTTCTGTCACATGGACTAACTCACTTCCGCAAATATTTATTGTGTGCTTCAGCACCAGGCACTGTAGGAGCAGAGATTAAGGAAATCCAGTGGTTTCCTCTAGGATTTTTTTTTTTAGTGTTAAAAATAATTTAAAGAAACACACTTTTTTTTAGATTTTATTTATTTATTCATGAGAGACAGAGAGAGAGAGAGAAAGAGAGAGAGGCAGAGACACAGTGGGAGAAGCAGATTCCATGCAGAGAGTCTGACGTGGGACTCCATCCAGGGACTCTGGAATCATGCCCTGGGCCAAAGGCAGGCGCTAAACCACTGAGCCACCCAGTTGTCCCAAATTCTTTAAAAATACATTTTTTAAATAAAAAATCTCCTGGATGGTGAATCAGGGGGTCTGAGTTCAGTCACTGTCAGAAGACTTACTCTCTTCCAGGTACCCTGGACTTGGCGAAGTGCCCTGCATACATTTTCCAAGTACTTTGTACCTCTTCTTCTTCTTCTTCTTTTTTTAAGATATTTATTTATTTATTCATGAGACACAGAGAGAGAGGCAGAGAAACAGTCTCCCCTTGGGGAGCCCAATGAGGGACTCCCAGGACCTGGGACCCTGACCTGAGCCGAAGGCCGATGCTCAACCGCTGAACCACCCAGGTGTCCCGCACTTTGTACTTCTTGACATCAGTTAATAATTTTACTCGCATGTGAATTTCACATGCGTGTGTCTGCTATCTTTACTAAACTTGACTTTCCCCCCTGGATGCCAGGCACTGCATCCAGTTGTCCTGTGGCCGTCCCAGCACCTATTATGGTATCCACTCCCCAGTAGACACTTGATATTATCTGTTGAATGAGTACATGAATGAAATAATCACCAAAGGAGAGGCGTTTGGCCTCTAGGTAGAAGACATTTTGTTCATACCCTTCCAGAGGGATTTTTTTTTAATTTTTATTTATTTATTCATGAGTGAGGCAGAGACCTAGGCAGACAGAGAAGCAGGTTCCCTGTGGGGAGCCTGATGGGGGACTGGATTCTAGAACTCAGGGATCACGACCTGAGCTGAAGGCAGATGCTCAACCACTGAGGCACCCAGCTGCCCCCAGAGGGATCTTTAATGAGGGGTAGAGAAGAAAGCCTGGTAGGGAAAAGCCAACCAATCCTTTCCACAATCCCCCACCCCAGGTTTCTAGGCACCCCCTCCCCACCCTCAAGGCTAAGTGCGGGGGTAGGTGAAGCTTTCGGGCTGGGGGGGGGGGTCATGTCCTAGATTCCATGGAGTACCTCTGTTTTCTCATCTGTTCAGTGGGGATCAGGGTAATGGTTACCCCGGGGGCTGTGAGAGGTCCTTGGAAAAGACAATACAGGGGTGTTTCAGGTTAAAGTGGTCATCACTGTCCTGATAATCTCCCTGCATGGATCTGAGCACCACCCTCCCTGACTATCCCAGTCCTCACACTTCTTTGGGTCAGAGGTTCTCAGAGTGTGGTCCCTAAGAACTCGTTGAAAATGCAAATTCTCAGGCTCTACCCTAGACCCTTCTAGATCAGATACTCTGGGGGTGGGGCCCAGCAATCTGAGTGACAGCAAGATCTCCAAGAAGATGCTAATGCAAGCCCAAGTTTGCGTCCTTCCTGCTCTGCTCTGAATGTAAGCTCTCCTAGGGACGTCTGGCCTGCGATGTTCACTTCTGTATCCCCAGGGCTGGCATAGTAGGTGTGCAGTAAGTGTGCTGAGGGCCTCATACTGTGTTCCTGGCGGCCGGCGGTTGGCTGAGGACCCCCTGCGTGTCAGGCTACCTTCTCAGTTAAGCAGCCATCCCCGGGATCATTTTACAGAGAGCGAAACTGAGGCTCAGGGAGGCCACGCCCGGTGTTGTGGGGTCACCCAGAGGGGATCCCCTAGGGAATCCCACGTTGGGCAGCTGGGCTCCTCCGGGCTCTCCAGCGGTGGCAGCGGCACGCGCCTCCGCGGCGCTGCGAGGGCGCCCCCCCCCCCGCCGGGGGTCCGCGCGCGTCCGCGACTCCGCGAGGGCGCCCCGCCCCGCCCCCGGGCTGGCGGGGGGAGGAGCGCGGCGGCGGCGGCGGCGGCGGCCCGTGGCGAAAGTGCGGCTGCGGAAGCGCGGCGAGGCGGCGGCAGGCGGGCGGCGGGGAGGCGGGCGGCGGGCGCTGCGGGCCGCGCGGACGCCATGGGCCGCCTGCACTGCACGCAGGACCCCGTGCCCGAGGCCGTGGGCGGCGACATGCAGCAGCTGAACCAGCTGGGCGCGCAGGTGGGCCCCGAGGGCTCAGGGCGCGGGGGGCGCGGGGGGCGCGGGCCGAGGGAGGGACTGGGCCGAGGGCCGAGGGGCGTGGGGCCCGCGGCGGGGCGCGCGGGCGGTGGGGACGGGCCGAGGGGCTCGGGGGCTGCGGGGCGCGTGGGGGGCTCAGCGGCGGGACTAAGGGCTAGTCCTGGAACCCGGAGAAATTGAGGTGCCTTAGCAGACGAACTGGGAGGAGTCTCGCCTGGGCGGAAGGGAGTTTGGGGGAACTGAGCACTAGTGGGAGTTTGGGGGCTGTGGGATTCGGTGGGCCAGGCCGGGCCGGAGATGTTCAGCAGGGGGCTGCGGGGGGGCTGCGGGGGGCTGCGGGGGGGCTGCGGGGGGTCTTGGCATCCAGTGGGGGCGGGTGACCCAGGGTGGCCAGGCCGGGGCGGGGGGGGGGGCTGTGGGGGCCCGAGCCCCGGGCCACACCCCTGCTCCCTAATTAAGGGGAGTATCTGGTAGCCCTCCAAAAAGCAAGCCATGTACCCTTCACAGTGTTGGGCCCCCCTCCGCACACACACCCCTTGATAGTAGGGGAGCTGCTGGCAAAGCCGTTTTTTGTTCATTCCAGCAGCAAATGCCAGCCTGCCAACTTCCTGCCCCTGTGCTGGTTAGGATGCCCTTTTCAGAGCACCCAAGGCAGCCAGAATAAATAGGTTAAAATGACACTTCTCACCACCATGGTAAAGGTGCAGCTGATTCTCCCCACTGGGTTGTGACTTCCCAGGAGGTGGGGTCCTTCTCCTTCATCTCAGCATCCCCCACAACTTACTGTTTTCTCACTAACTGACATATTCTGAAAGCCCCTTTGTCACAGAGAAATAAATAAACTGCAAGTCACACGTGTTATTCTACATTTTCTAGTAGTCTCATTTAAAAATCAAAAAGAGGGCAACCCTGGTGGCTCAGCGGTTTAGCGCCTGCCTTCAGCCCAGGGCCTGATCCTGGAGTCCCAGGATCAAGTCCCACGTCAGGCTCCCTGCATGGAGTCTGCTTCTGCCTGTGTCTCTATGTCTCTTTCTCTGTGTGTGTGTGTGTGTCTATCATGAATAAATTAAAAATAAATAAAATAAAATAAATAAAAATCAAAAAGAGAGGCGCCTAGCTGCAACGCTGGACTTTGAGGTCATGAGTTCGAGTTCCACATTGGGTGTAGAGATTACTTGAAAATATCATCTTTAAAAAGTAAATAAAAGGGTGCCTATGTGGCTCAGTCCATTGAGTGCTTTCTTTTTTATTTTATTTTATTTTATTTTTTTAAAAGATTTTATTTATTTGTTCATGAGAGACACAGAGAGAGAGAGACACAGGCAGACAGAGAAGCAGACTGTCCACAGGGAGCCTGAAGTGGGACTTGATCCCGGGACTCCAGGATCACACCCTGGGCTGAAGGCAGGCACTAAACTGTTGAGACACCCAGGGGTCCCCTTTTTTTTTTCTTTTCTTTTCTTTTTTTTTTAAAGATTTATTTATTTATTCATGAGAGACACACACAGAGAGAGAGGCAGAGACACAGGCAGAGGGAGAAGCAGGCTCCATGCAGGGAGACTAATGTGGGACTTGATTCCAGGACTCCAGGATCATGCCGTGGCCCGAAGGCAGGCATTAAACCGCTGAGCCACCCAGGGATCCCCCTAGAATTTTTTTTTTTACACAGAAGGGATTGCATGGTATTACTTGAAATGGATTTACCATAATTTATTAACCAGCCCTATATTAATAGACACTTAAGTTGCTTTCAGTTTTTGTTTTTATGAACAATGCTTTGTGTAAATATGTCTGGTTTACTTTTTGGAACGTATCTGAAGGGTATACTTCCTGCAATGGAATTACTAGGTCAGGAGATATGAGCATTTAAAAAATTAGATAGGACTATCGAATTGCCATCTGGAAAGGTTGCTCCAATTTATCCTCTCATCAACAGTGTAAGCATGTCTGTTTCCTGGTACTTTCACCAGCATTGGTATCATCAAACTTTTTTTTTGAAGATCTGATAAGTTAAAAAGTGGTATTTCCTTATTTTGCTGATTTGCATTTCTCATCTGGAATGATCTTGAACATCTTTCCAAATATTTATTGGTGAGCATAGTTAAGATTTTGGTTTCATGGATGATGACGGGCAGGTGAGCATTCCAGGGAAAGACAGCTATCCAGATACAAAGGCGAAGAATGGGGAAGGTGTTAAGGGAAGATTTATTCAACAAATACTTAACTGCACACATGACAATAACCAGGTCTCTGTGACCATACAAAGGCGTACAAGGAACCTTCTCTGCTAAGACGAGTCCTGTTTCTTATCAAGATTTAAAATTCTAAGTGCCCTCAGGCAAGGTTCCAAGAGGGAGCCTCAGAAGTTAAGAATCTGGGTAGGTCACTTTCTTGTTGGGAGGGTAATGGAGTCTTGGCAGCAGGGCTTTGAAGGATAAAGGGTGGGTTGGAAAAGTGGAGATAGTGACGCCTGGGTGGCTCAGTCGTCGAGCATCTGCCTTCAGCTCAGGGTGTGATCCTGTGGTCCCAGGATCTCCCACATATTAAAAAAAAAAAAAAAAGGAAAAGGAGATAGGGATGGGGCTCATCATGGCCTGCAGACCAGATTAAGTTGAGGCCCCTCTTAAGAGGAGACATAGGGGGATGAGGCCTCACAGGGAGATTGAGCCTGAATGCTAGGCTGAGGCTTGAAAATGGAAAAGCCACTGGAAGCCTCCTTAGCTGCTCCATTTCTGAAAGGACCCAGGGTGACATAGGAAATACACTTAGCCAAAGATCTGACGGTCTGCAGATTTCAGGGGGAAAAAAAGAAATGAAGTAAAAGAAAGCTCAGTTTGAGGATGCAGTCTGAAACTAGTCCCTCACTTTTCTTGTTTTTACTATATAGAATCAGCAATTATGCAAGGCTGATACCCAATATCTTATGACACCTAATATCATGAGTACTGCAGAAAGACAACCCCTGGATCAACCTCGGTTAAAATGTTTCCAGGGAATATCCATGAACTTTTGAGAAAGTAGATACCTCTATGCCATTGGCAGGTGGGAGTATAAATCCATGCAATTTCTTTGCAAGGCAGTTTGGCAACATTTTCTCAGAATTTAAAATGCATATATTATTTGACCTAAGATACATTTTTAAAAAAAGATTTTATGTATTTATTAGAGAGAGAGTGACCATGCACAACCAGAGGAAGAGGGAGAGGGAGAAGGAGAAGCAGGCTCCCTGCTGGGTTTATTCCCAGGACCCTCTGATCCTGACCTGAACTGAAGGCAGATGCTTAATACACTGAGCCACCCAGGCGCCCCTGACCTAAGATACATTTTAGAAATGTATGTTATAGACATACATGTCACAAAGAGATATGTGGAAGGATATTCATTGCAGTATTATTTAGAATAACAACAAAGCACGCACACATGCTAATGTATCTCTAGGGAGCCGAATTACACTAAGTCAATACAACTGAATGCTGTACAGTTGTTAAAAGAATTGGGTAGGGGGTTCCTGGCTGGCTTGGCAGAGGAGCCTGCTACTCTTGATTTCAAGGTTGTGAGCTCAAGCCCCAAGGGTGTAGGTTCACTATCATCTTGTTTGTATTTAAAAGAAAGTAAATTCAAATACAATTCTGGAAAGGCCACAAAGGTGTTAGCAGTAACCACCTGTGGACACCTCCAACTGATATTGAGGGGGGCCGGCAGGAAGAATCATTTTATTACTTAAAAAAAATTAAAACTTAAAAAAAATAAAAATTTTAAAAATAAGAGATTGTTCTTTTTTTTCTTTTAAGATTTTATTTATTTATTCATAGACACAGAGAGAGGCAGAGACACAGGCAGAGGGAGAAGCAGCTCCATGCAGGGAGCCCAGCATGGGACTCGATCCCGGGTCTCCAGGATCAGCCCAGGCTGAAGGCAGCGCCAAACCGCTGCACCACTGGGCTGCCCAAGAGATTGTTCTTGAACAGTGGATAATAAAGTGTAAACTTTACTGTTTTGTCATATACATAATAAGATTTTATTGTAGGAGAGAAACCCAGAAAATATAGATAGAAGAAAATAAAAATCTGGGGATCCCTAGGTGGCTCAGCAGTTTAGCACCTGCCTTCAGCCCAGGGCATAATCCTGGGACATGGAGAGACATGGAGAGAGAGGCAGAGACATAGGCAGAGGGAGAAGGAGGCTTCTCGAGGGGAAGCCTGATGCAAGGCTCGATCCCGGGACCCTGGGATCATGACCTTAGCCAAAGTCAGATGCTCAACTGCTGAGCCACCCAGGTGCCCAATAAATAAAATCGTAAAAAAAAAAGACAAGGTAGAGAAAAAGTTTATATATAATATGTTAACATTTATGTGGGGCAGAAAAAAAGAAATCACATATTTGGGTTGACTTAAATTTAAATAATAAATATGTGGATATATAAACAAAAAAGAAAAAAGCAACTACTATTAATCTTCCAGGGATTTTCCTTTCAGGCTGTGTGTGTGTGTACTTGGACCCTTCAGATATATATATATACTCGCAATGTCTCAATATGTATCCCCCACATATGTGTTCCAATAAAATATATGAGTTTTTCAGACAATATGGTGATACTGATATATTGACACTGAGTAGTAGGTGCTGTGAATATTTGAACCTTAAGATGATCAAACAGGTATCCATGCCTGTGTGTTCTCTCTTAAGGGTCTATAGTTGGATGGGATGTGGGAACACTGACCCAGGAATAGAATTTTACTGATATTCTGTGTTGTTCTCTTCACAGCAGTTCTCGGCCTTGACAGAAGTGCTTTTCCACTTCCTAACTGCGCCAAAAGAGGTAAAGTACCTTATGATAAGGAGAGTTCCTGAGTGTGGGTCTACAGCCCTGAGATGCTAAGGAACTGAAGGCCTGGTTTGTTCCCTCTCTGCAGGTGGAAAGGTTTCTGGCTCAGCTCTCTGAGTTTGCCACCACCAACCAGATCAGTCTTGGCCCCCTCAGAAGCATCGTGAAAAGCCTCCTTCTGGTTCCAAATGGTGAGTAGCCTCTCTTAGCAGTTGAGGCCAGAGATGTTACTTGAATTCTTCCAGTCCACAGAGTCAGCAAGCATACTCTGGGCACTGAGCCAGCACATTCAGTAGAAAACCAGACCAGACGTGGGCAGGACACTCAGTCTAGGGAGGGAAGCCAGGTACACAGATAACTGCAGTAGAATGTAATAGGGGTGCAGCTCAAAGTACAGTCTGCATCCCAGCTTCAGTTCCCAAACTGCTATCTGGTCATCTGCATGGTAATTACAGAAATCAAGAATAAGCATTTAGAAGCTTTTATAGCAATTTGGCAAAATCTTTTGAATCCACTGATTTTTTTTTTAATGGGGCTTGTTTTTTTTTTTTTTTTAAGATTTTATTTATTCAAGAGAGACACACAGAGAAAGGCAGAGACATAGGCAGAGGGAGAAATAGGCTTCCTGTGAAGCCTGGTGGAGGACTCAATCCCAGGACCCTGGGATCAAGACCTGAGCCACAGGCAGACATTCAACCACTGAACCACCCAGGTGTCCCTGTATTTTTTTTTTTTAAGATTTTATTTTTAAGTAATCTCTGCACCCAATGTGTGGCTCAAACTCACAACCCTGAAATCAGGAGTTTCATGTTCTACCGACTGAGCCAGCCAGGCACCCCATGGGCTTATATATATATATTTTTTAATGTGGTAAAGTATACATAATGTAAAATTTACCATTTTGACCATTTGGGGCTTATATTTTGTATGTAGTTTTTAAAACTTTTTCATCGTATTTTATAAAAATATCAGTCCACAATGGATTGAAATTTTAAAAAGTCTTTCACTGTAGATAGTTTCAGGAAGTAATTTGCCTAGAGTAATCAGGAAAAGTTTCTAGCCAGGAGGAAGGTGAGCACAAAGGCTTAGCTATAGGGATATCCATTATAGCACTATTTTGATGACATAGAAAAATCTGAAACAAATTGCCCAGTGGTTAGAGATTAGTATAATGCACTATGGTCTGTTTTTACAGGGTAAGATCATGGTGGTCAAAAATTCATGGTCCTAAGTTAGGTAGATGTGGGTTTGTCACTTGCTGAGTAGTGTGGTTTGCACATATACAAATTAGCAGTGGGCTGATTTTCCCAAGCTCTCAGCCAGTGGTGCACTGAAAGTTGGGGGCTTAATTTGTTTGTTCCTGTTGGGTGCCTTCCCACATCTTAATGCAGGTCCTTTCCTTTGAGTGGCTATGCTCTTGATGTTCTGGGGGCTTGCATCAGAACATCCCGAGGTTTCTAACTGTGAAATTTTCTCACCCTCTGTTTAGGTAATTCTTGCATTTGTTACCCTCATGGAGGGTTAAAAGCTTGTAAACCAAAGGCTGGAAGAGAATGTGCAGTCTTTGTAACACGGGAATAAATACTCATTGCAAAGCTACAACAGTACAGAGCTATTGGAGAGCCAGAAGTGAAACATCCCCTTCTACCCTCATGCCACTCTTGTCTCCAGACACCATCACAGTTTACTTTTGGTGTATGTCCTTTTGTATTTTCGCATACGCTGGCAGATATGCACATAGACGTTCATGTAGTTCTGTTTTTCATAAATGGCAGTAAACCATAAAAGTGCTCTTGTGGCTTGTATTTTTTCACACATGGTACGTTGTGGAGATTTCTCCACAGCAACTTCATTCTTCTAAGGGCTGTAATGGGCCATGGACTGGATGTCTCTTCAGTTAGTCATCTGTTTCCTGTTGTTGTACGTCTTACTCGTAACCTTTCACTCTTGGAAACAGTGCCGCAGTGGACATCCTTGGGACACTGTGTGCTCCCGCTGTGAGCATTTCTGTAGGCTAGGTGCCCGGACTGTAGATCCAGAGTCTTCTCTCTCATTCTCTAGCTTAACACCTGTGGAGATGGGTTTGTCAGTGGGGGAAGACCTGTCTACCCAATAGCTGTTATGAGCACCGATTTTCTAGGTGGCTTCTGTCTCCCGGTACCCCTGCCTCCCTTCTTTCCTGTCTTCCCTAGCTCTGCTCTCCACCCCCCTCAATCCTGTCAAAATGCCTCAGTCCTCCCCAGCCAGGACACTTGGACCCCTGTGCTATCTTTCAGAAAGCCTTCCTAAATCACTTCAATCTGCAGTGACCTCCCTTCCTCTCAGCTCCCAAGAGATGGTTTTTATCTACAGTTATCATTTTGGCCTGTAATGGTTTACAGTTTGCTATTGTTCATGCTGTTTTACATGTGTCTCTTTTGTGGCTTTAACAGAGAGCTTGTTCTTTGAAGTCAAGGGAGGATCTTATACTTCTTTCCTGAGCCAAGGTTACAAGTTAAGTAATGACATAAAGCAGATGCTTAGTACATGCTGCATGAGTTGAACGGAACTTGGAAGATCCTGTGACCCTCCCAGGGGACGTTGGGTATATATTTTTCAGGCAGGATTGATTGTCATTGTTTATAGCAGATCATTTTCTATAGGTGCAGAGAACCCTGAGGAGGAACTCATAGCATACCATTTAAGAGGTGGGCTTTGCAGGCTCACATGGATTTGAGTGTTAGTCACATCACCTTTGTAGCTCTTCAGCCTTGGACAAATCAGAATTAGCCTCAGTGGGACGCCTGGGTGGCTCAGCGGTTGAGCATCTGCCTTGGGCTCGGGGTGTGATCCTGAGGACCTGGGATCGAGTCCCACGTCGGACTTCCTGCATGGAGCCTGCTTCTCCCTCTGCCTGTGTTGCTCGCTCTCTCTCTCTCTCTCTCTCTCTCTTTCTCTGTCTCTAATGAATAAATAAATAAAATCTTAAAAAAAAAGAATTAGCCTCAGTTTCTTATCTGAAAAACAGAATTGTAAGAGCAGTATGGTTGTGGCTTTAGGAATGAATAAGTTAATATATACAAAGTACTTAGTACAGTATTGGCTAAACTTTAGTTTTATGTATTGATAGTTCAGTTAGTTGTAGTCAAGTGCCTTCTCAGATTATGAGGACTAAGCATCTGAGGGTATAGCTCATAAGTCACTTGTTCTTTTCCTCAGCCCAGAACAAGTTCTTAGTCCTTCCTGCCTAATTGTGGCAGTACTATCTCCACCTTTACTCTCCTTTTTTTTTTAAAAAAAAAGATTTTATTTATTTATTCATGAGAGACAGAACAAGAGAGGCAGAGGGAGAAGTAGACTCCTGCAGGGAGCCTGATGTGGGACTTGATCCCAAGATCCCAGGATCAGGCCCTGAGCCAAAAAGGCAGATGCTTAACCGCTGAGGCACCCAGGTGCCCCTCCACCTTTACTATTCCATCCCTGGTTACCGCCTGGCCTGGAGTACACTTCTACAGCACAGCTAGCATCATGATGCACTTCATAACTATTTACTCTGCATGGTGAGGTCCATAATCCTCAGTGTGGCACTCAAGCCTTTCCCAATCTCATCTGAAATGTAAAGACCTCCAGGTCCTCACCCACTTCCTTGTCCCTCATCCTGGACCTGCCTTGCCAGAAGACCTCCTTGTAGAAGTACAGTTTGTTAGAGCTGGAGGAGCCTCGTCCCTTCAGATCAATTGTCCTCAAATTGGTGTTTTTATCCAGGAAAGGCTTCTGTGGTCAACCAGAAGCAGGAAATACTGCCCCTTCTCTCTCCCCAGCTTTGGAATCTTGGAGAGACATACTCATTAGCATATCTCAGGCTCTGTAAAGTGCCGCAGTAAAGACCTGCTTATCTAATATCTGAGAAACAGTTAACCATGAAACCCTTCTCCTTCTCTTCTTCCTTGTCCTCCTTCTCCTCCTCTTCCCCCTCCTTTTTCCCCACCTCCTCCTCCTTTTTCAGGGAGAGGATCAGGTAAAAGCTTTTTGTAAGTTCTGACCTAGTCTAATCTTTGTCTTACCGATAAAGAGACAGAGCCCTAGAGAGGGAAGTGACTTGCTTAGGATCTTACAGTGGAAAAGCTGGGACCAGTACCTCTCTTGGTTGGCATAGAGCCCAGTAACTTGTTTTTGTTTTTTAATGTTTTTCTTTCACTATTTAGTATGTAATTCTTAAAAACACCTGACTTCATTTGTTAACCCATAGCCAGATTGTTTCATCTATACCTCTCCCACTTTTCACTGGTGTCCAAACTGGATTATTTAATTTTATTTATTTATTTTTTAATATTTTATTTATTTATTCATGAGAGAGACAGAGAGAGAGGCAGAAACACAGGCAGAGGGAGAAGGCAGGCTCCTTGCGAGGAGCCCAATGTGGACTCGATCCCAGGATCCTGGGATCACGCCCTGAGCCAAGGCAGATGCTCAACTGCTGAGCCACCCAGGCTTCCCAAACTGGATTATTTTAAAGCAAATCTCAGAGGTCATTCATTTCATTTCTGAATACCTAGTCATTATCTCTCAAAGATAAAGGCCCTTTTTCCCCTTATCAAACCACAATGCCATTATCATATCTAAAATTAAAATATGCAGTGTTCACATGTCCCCATTGTCTCATGCATTTTCTTTGTCTATAGCTGGTTGCTCTCATCAGGATCCAGGGAGGGCCCTCACATTGCATTTGGTTGCTGGATGGCCCTTGTTTGCATACTTGTCACCATGGCTACTTAACAGCTTTGAGATCTTGGAGCCAAGTTACTGAACAGGAGTTCATACATCATTATAAGAATAGAGAAAGATTGAATGTGAAATACTTCAATGAGCAGTACACTGCTGCTAATACTATGATTGTTTTCTAGATACAGATAACTCCTAGATTGCAGATAACTTGACTGTAGGACTACTATTTAAGCCTGGTTTTATGTATGTATGTATGTATGTATTTATTTATTTATTTTTTATAATAAATTTATTTTTTATTGGTGTTCAATTTACCAGCATACAGAATAACACCCAGTGCTCATCCCGTCAAGTGCCCCCCTCAGTGCCCGTCACCCATTCACCCCCACCCCCCGCTCTCCTCCCCTTCCAACACCCCTAGTTCGTTTCCCAGAGTTAGGAGTCTTTATATTCTGTCTCCCTTTCTGATATTTCCCACACGTTTCTTCTCCCTTCCCTTATATTCCCTTTCACTATTATTTATATTCCCCAAATGAATGAGAACATACACTGTTTGTCCTTCTCCGATTGACTTACTTCACTCAGCATAATACCCTCCAGTTCCATCCACGTTGAAGCAAATGGTGGGTATTTGTCATTTCTAATGGCTGAAAGCCTGGTTTTATTTTAATACTTAACAAGATATCTGGCCCCTGTAGGTCCTCAGTAACTGATTGTCCTTTAAGAAAAGCTGCTAACTCCCCTTCTCCTCTCCCAAAGAAGTTCTTTCTGGCTGGGCAAAAACAGAGTAATCAGAACTGAACAGTAGTCACAAATGGTATTTAATCAGCTGTTGAACTGAGTTCCCTAGGATTCCCAGCCTCACCCCACTCTCTTCTCTCTGTGGAGCTTTTCAGTCATTCTCCATATGGCTCCCTTCCTCGTTACCTGCTTGGTGTGGTCTTTTGCTTCTCGAATAGAATGTAAGCCTCACGAGGGCAGACATTGTCCGTGTGTTCATTGATGTTTCCCAGCATCAAGCATTGTGCTGGCATCTAGCAGGTCCTCAGTAAATGCACGCCCAGTGACTGTGACTTCTATCTTTCCATGAGCCTCAGAGGAGTGGATCCAGCAGGGCAGCCTTCAGGGTCAGTGATCGCTGACTGAATGTGGCTTACCCTCTCAACCACCTGCTTTCTTTTCCTGGAGTTTTAACCAATGCTTAGTTATGTTCCTTGGGTTTCCCTTATAACACTGATGAGAAAAAAAAAAAAAACACTGATGAAGCTTTGGCTAGAAGATAAGATTTTTTGGCTAGAAAAACAATATGCTAATTTTCCAACTGTTTTCTGGCAAAAGTGAAACCCTCACCCTGGACATACACCTTTGTGTTGTTCCCCATACTATTTGATGGCAATAAGGGTTTGCCTAAGGCAACTGTTCAGTGAGAGTTAGCGCTCAAGGACTTTATAAACCTTGTCAGATGCTTATCCGTGTTTAAAGAAGGACATCCTCAAATTTCCCTAAGTGGCATATTCTAGGGACTCCAGCCCTGGATTTACAGTTCTCTTTCTGTCTGAAGTCAAGGCTTCAGGCCTATCTTGTACTTAGGACAAAGGAATCACCAAAACAGAAAGCTGAAAAAGAAGAGCTATAGTTAACAATGCAGTATATATAAACTTCAGAATTGCTAAGAGCTTAGATCTTAAAGGTTCTAACACAGAAAGAAATGATAATTATGTCATGTGATAGACGTATTAGCTAGTGCTACAGTGTCAATCAATTGTCAGATATAAATGTATCAGGGCAGCCCTGGTGGCTCAGCGGGTTTAGCGCTGCCTACAGCCCGGGGCCTGATTCTGGAGACCCAAGATCAAATCCCATGTCCGGCTTCCTACATGGAGCCTCCTTCTCCCTCTGCCCGTGTCTCTGCCTCTCTCCTCTCTCTCCTCTCTGTGTATTCTCATGAATAAATAAATTAAATCTTAAAAAAAAAGTTATAAATGTATCAAATCAACATATTGTACACCTTAAACTTACACAATGTTATGGGTGCTCATAAGCGGGGGAGGGGCAGAGGGCCAGAGAGGATCTGAAACCAATGCCCCACTGAGTATAGAGCCAGAGGGCTCAATCCCAGGACCTGGAGATCATGACCTGAGCTGCCCAACCAACTGAGCTACCCAGGCATCCGTATGTCAATTATATCTTTTTTTTTTTTAAGATTTTATTTATTTATTCATGAGAGACACAGAGAGTGAGACAGAGGGAGAAGCGGCTCCTCACAGGGAGCCCAATATGGGACTCGATCTCTGGACCTGGGATCACACCCTGAGCCGAAGGCAGACGCTCAACTGCTAAGCCACCCAGGCATCCCAGTTATATCTCAATAAAAAGAAGGGAAGATTAATAAATTAAGGGCTTGAAGCCTAGCATGATGTAAATATATTTTTAAAATACGGCTTTGGGGGTAGCCCGGGTGGCTCAGGGGTTTAGCGCCGCCTTCAGCCCAGGGTGTGATCCTGGAGACCCAGGATCGAGTCCCACATCGGGCTCCCTGCGTGGAGCCTGCTTCTCCCTCTGCCTGTGTCCCTGCCTCTCTCTCTCTCTCTCTCTCTCTCTCTCTCTCTCTCTCTCTCTCTGTGTGTGTGTGTGTGTGTGTGTGTGTGTCTCATTAATAAATAAATAAAATATTTTTAAAAATAAAAGTAAAAAAATACATGGCTTTGGGGGGATGCCTGAGTGGCTCAGCAGTTAAGTGTCTGCCTTTGGCTCCAGTCGTGATCGTCGGTCTCGGGATTGAGTCCCACATCGGGCTTCTGCATGGAGCCTGCTTCTCCCTCTGCCTGTGTCTCTGCTTCTCTCTCTCTGTGTCTCTCATGAATAAATAAATCTTTAAAACAGTAAATAAAATATGGCTTGGGACACAACAATGGGCAAAACAGGCCAAGTCCTTATTCTCGTAAAACTGATATTCTAGTGGAAAAATCAACAATAAATACATAACATGAAGTTGGATGGTTAAAAATGCATTGCAGAAAAATACAGCAGTAGAAGGGTGCCAGTGAAGAGCAACTCCACTTGAAATAGGGTAGACAGGGTTCCTTTCCGAGGCAAGATTCAAGGAGAGGCTGGAATGATACGAAGGCCACGTGCAGATTTGAGGAAGAGTGTCCCTAGCAGAGGGAATTGCAAGGGCAAATATCAGGAGATAGGAACCTGCCTGGCATATAGGAAAAGCCAAGTAAACAAGAGAGCGAAGAGTTTAGGGGTTCTAGAGACCGCCAGTTCCTGCAGGGCATTATAAGAGCTTTGGATATTATTGTGAGTGAAGCTGAAGCTATTAGAAGGTTTTGAACAGGGCAGAGACATGCATGGTCTGACTTAAGTTTTAACAAAATCACCTTGGCACCCAGGCTGTTGTGTGGATGCACCAAACCAGTGCACTGTTCCTGACATTTTATCTTTAGTACCGACATTGCTAAAAAGCTTCCTATGGATATTTCAGTGTGCTCTTGGGAGCATATCTTTTGGGTGACTTTTTGGCAGTGCAGTTGTTGACTATGTGGCTTTGCCATATTCTCTCCCCAAAAGCTTAATCTTTCTGATCTTTAGTTTCCTGGTAAATTAAAGGTTTCAATAGTAATCCCCACTTCAGAGTATTTTGGGATCATCAAGCAAAATATCAGATTTGAGCTAGATGTACATGTGGTAGTTACGAATTAATTGAATTGGCTAGGAAGTGGCCTTCTTGGAGGGCCTTCATGGCCAAGGTTTCCTGGTGTCTTGCGTTTTTTTTTTTATTTCCCTATGGCTTCCTTGCTCAGTCTGATTTTGGCGATAAAAGATTTCCTCCCTTTGTTGACATGGTTTATTTTGCAGGGGACAGCCAGCCTTTAGGATTGTTTTTCAGGAGTGAGCTCAGGGCGGGGAGTTGGTCTTTAGCATATTACTCCAGGGCCCTCCCTGGATGGTGGTAAAGGTCTCCTTATTCTTTAATTAGTCATCTTCTGGAAGACTAAGAAGTGGAAAATTTTAAAGCACTTGCCAAATTGTGATTCTGGGCTGTAGCCTGATGTTAAATGTTGAAAAGCCCAGATTGCTGGCAACACTTTGTTTTCAGGAATTGGACCTCAGGCAAACAGAACAAAGCAGCCCCCACGGGGTGTACTCTTGGGGCTCACAAGGGGAAGCTTTACTAGACTCCTCTGGAAGTGACTTGTGAATTGTAGAGGCCAACTGTTAGCATCCTTCATTTACTTCCTGAAAGCTGATTCTCTGGCACCGCTGTCCAATAGAACTATCTAAATGGTGGAGATGGTCTCTGATCCCTGGCCAGTGGACCCATGGGGCTATCGACTTGAAACAGTGCCACTGAGGAACAGAATTTTAAATTTTGTTTGATTTTTTTTTAAGATTTTATTTATTTATTAATGAGAGACACAGAGAGAGGCAGAGATGCAGGCAGAGGGAGAGGCAGGCTCCCTGCAAGGAGCCCGATGTGGGACTCAATCCCAGATCCTGGGATTAGCTCTGAGCCGAAGGCAGACTCATAACCACTGAGCCACCCAGGTGGCCCAAATTTTGTTTGATTTTAATGAATTAAAATATAAGGGAGTGGGTAGCCTGGGTGGCTCTGCGGTTTAACCCCTGCCTTCGGCCCGGGGTGTGATCCTGGGGTCCTAGGATCGAGTCCCACATCAGGCCTCCTGCATAGAGATTGTTTCTCCCTCTGCCTGTTCTCTGCCCCCCCCCACTCTGTGTCTCTCATGAATAAATAAATAAAATCTTTAAAAAAAAAAAAATATATATATATATATATATATAGGAGTGCTAGGAGAAAAATAAAGTTTAAATAACCACACCTCTTAAGTGGTTATGTATTGCCCAGTGCAGCTCCAGGCTGTTGCCCTTATGCCCAGCCTGACATTGAGTTCCCCCGACTCTGCTCCAGGAATCCGTGGCCTTATTCTTTTCTCACATCAGGTACCCCCAACCCCAAGTCCATAAAGTCCTTTCTGCTCTCTGACTTCTTTTGTCCTTTCTGGAGGGGTAAACACTTGTGTTGTACAATAAATAAAGTATGCTGTCCTATTCTCCAGTTGTTTCCTTTTTTTTTAATATTTTATTTATTTATTCATGAGAGACACAGGGAGAGAGAGAGGCAGAGACACAGGCAGAGGGAGAAGCAGGCTCCACGCAGGGAGCCCAATGTGGGACTCGATACCAGGTCCCCAGGACCAGGCCCTGAGCTGAAGGCAGTGCTAAACCGCTGAGCCACCAGGGCTGCCCTCTCCAGTTGTTTCCTATGGGCCTTTTCTCCATAGCTGGATTGAGATTTTTCCCGGAGCTAGCCAAGTCTTTTGTGTATCATCCCCTTTGCCCTCTCTGTCATATCAGTTGTGTCTATTGATACTTACTGCCAGTTGATTAACTGATACCGCTTTTTAACTGATTACTCCCCTGTTTCCCAGGTGCCTTGAAGAAGAGTCTCACAGCTGATCAGGTCCGGGCTGATTTCATAACTCTTGGTAGGTCATCACCAAGGTTGCTCGGGGGTGACAGGCCTGACAACTCTTTTATTATGTTAAAGTCTCTTTTTGTTCTATTACAGGTCTTAGTGAGGAGAAAGCCACTTACTTTTCTGAAAAGGTATCATAATTCCTCTTAATCAAGGTTAAGATTGTTTGCTTTTATTTCATGAAAAGAAACAAATGAGAATGCTGACTAAGGAAAACCATCAATAATTCTATGTCATTTCCCCAGCTTAATAGCTTTCATGCAAATGACATACATACAGCATTTAAATGGCACTCTTTAGTGCATCTTTGATTTTTTTGCCTCTGATTTGACGGACTTTAATCATCACGCAGTTTTTGTCCCAACCTGGGACTAAATCTTGAAATGAAAGAAAACATTGATATCATCTTCTGCCCCTCTTTACAGCCCTCATCCCCCAGATCTGTACATATAGGCCAAGCCCTCAGCTGTGCATTCTTCCCCTTGTCTGTATAAATACTGAACATTGCTGTGTTGGGGGCAGAATGAAGAGGTGGTATTTTCCCCATTGTTATGACTTTGGCTTTTTGCTTTTGTTTCAGTGGAAGCAGAATGCCCCAACCCTTGCTCGATGGGCCATAGGACAGACTCTGATGATTAACCAGCTTATAGATATGGAGTGGAAATTTGGAGGTAACTAGTTAGAGCCAGTCCTGGGTCATTTGGGAGATGTAGGGTGGGATTGCAGAGGCTTTCAGATAGTTTCCATAGGGAGGACATGTCCTCAGTCCTCACAGGCTGTTGGGACCAACAACTGCTGCCTCTTTGTATTGCCGCTGGCATTTGGCAGCTCATTTCTATCTACGGCTCCCTGTAAGTTGACTTCCTGAAGAGCATGTTTTGCTGTCCTCATACTCATCTCTACATGGCTTCTGCTGGACAGCCTGCAAGATTGGGGTGTTCAGAATAGGTCCATTGTCAACCCGCCCCTTTTCTCTTTTGTGTCACAGTGACATCCGGAAGCAGTGAACTGGAGAAAGTGGGAAGTATTTTTTTACAAGTAAGTCTCCTGATCTGTGAAAATGGGTAGAGTTTTGACTTGGTTAAAAATTATTAAATCAACATTGGATTTTTTTGAATACCCAATTTAGTGGATGTTCACTGAAATGCCTTGTGTATCTCAGAGCAGTGTTGTCAGCCAAAAATGTGGTCACTAACACACCTGCTCTCAGATTAATAGGATCCTGATATTGTTCTTTTTTTTTTTTAAGATTTTATTTATTTATTCATGAGAAACACAGAGAGAGAGAGGCAGAGACACAGGCAGAGGGAGAAGCAGGCTCCATGCAGGGAGCCCTATGTGGGACTGGATTCCGGGTTTCCAGGACCACGCCCTGGGCCTAGGGCAGGTGCCGAACCGCTGAGCCACCCAGGGATCCCCCTGATATTGTTCTTAAAAGCTTGATTGTTCTGTAATCATGCAGATTGTTAGAAGTTTTGGTGATTGTGGATCCAGAACCAAAAAACCTATTTGTGTGTGTGTGTGTGTGTGTGTGTTTAAGATTTTATTTATTTACTCATGAGAGACATAGAGGCAGAGAGAGAAGCAGGCTCCATGCAGAGAGCCCCATGTGGGACTCGATCCTCAGATTCCAGGACCACGCCCTGGGCCAAAGGCAGGTGCTAAAACCACTGAGCCACCCAGGGATCCCTCCTGTTTGAATCTCAAGTCAGAAGCTGGATGCTTTGATGTTTAAGTGAAAGGATTTTGAGAATTTCTTTGCCCAGTTGTCATCATTTTAATTAATTTTTTTTCCTTTGTTTTTTTTAATCAGTTAAAGTTGGTGGTTAAGAAAGGAAATCAAACTGAAAATGTGTACATAGGTGAGTCTGAATTCCCACTGGAACCTTTTCACTTTTTCCATGTTCTCTTTAGTCAGTGGGCTTGTGAAGCACCACAAATCATTTTTTTCTGGGAAATAAGTCATACCTGAGCTGTGGAGTAGCCATTCCACTGCCTCTCCTCTCATAAATAATAAGCCATCAGCAGGCTAGAGACCCCACAGTTGAAGAGCCTCTTTGAAAACGGAAAGCTCAGGGAGAAGGGATGACGAAGACTGAAGAGCAAGCAGCTCTTGCTGCTGAACATCCTGAATAATGCCCTTTCATGTCTTTGTGCTGTGGAGTTATGCCATTTTTAAATTTTCCACTTTTGTATGGAGCCGAGAACCTTTCTATGTTCAAGGTTTTCAGTTCTTTATTATGGTCAATTACCCATCAAGAGCTGCTTAGATGTACTAAGTCAAAAAAGAAAAAAAAAATCTCTGGGTGGAAATTCATTTTCTTGGATGATTCTGTGGAGTTGGAAACATTTACGTGAAGCTGAATTTTCTCTCCCCAGAATTAACCTTGCCTCAGTTCTACAGCTTCCTGCACGAGATGGAGCGAGTCAGAACCAGCATGGAGTGTTTGAGCTGATTTCTGGCCCCTTCCCTGCTCCCTTCTCTTCCATGGTGGCTCCTCAGAGAGGCACCTCACTCACAGGCCTGTGGGGTGCTGATATGGGGTCTGCTTGCTTCTTGGGAGCCCAGGTGCAAAGGTTTCTGGAAAACAACAGGATTAAGTACTTAAGGAGCCCCACACAATTACTCTGTGAATTCTTTGTTTAGGGGAACCTCCACCACCTATCTCCCAGGATGCTTCTTAGCTATTCAGACAGGCTGTTGTTGCATCTCAAATTCAGGGGAGGAAATTCAGAGGTTACCTCCCTATCAAAATTTCAGAGTAAACAGATGGTGCCATCACTCAAGATGCAGGCTGATCACCCTCCCCTCAAAAAGGGAAAGACTTATTTATGGCTGACACACGTGGGGAGCCCCCAGCAATTTTTCTACGCCCTCTGCGTTTGTGGTGGTGGTGGTGGTGATGGTGCATAGCTAATCAGCTTTTAATGGGGCACCTGTGTATAAATACTTGCTTCCTCTGTTCTGAAAAGAACTGAGGCCAACCTCTTTTCTCATTTTGGGTTGTGCCCTGTGTTGTGTTGTAATGAGGCTATTTTCACTTGTTTGGGTTCAGGCTGACCTTCTCTGTTGGTCAGATGATGAATAAAAAAGGTTCTAAAGAAAAGGTCTGAATCCAGTTGTCTCAATGCATGAAAGAGTCATCCCTTTACAAAGTGCTACTCCTCTAATCTTCCAACAATTATTTTCCTGGTTTTGGTGAAGGCCCTGAGTTTTGAGTGAAATTAGCTGTGGTCCAAAGATAGAACTTGTAAGAGCAGCTCAGGGCAGATTCAGGTTAAAACGTCATGAAAAGGGCAGCCCTGGTGGCTCAGGGGTTTAGCGCCGCCTTCAGCCCAGGGCGTGATCCTGGAGACCCAGGATTGAGTCCCAAGTCAGGCTCCTGCATGGAGCCTGCTTCTCCCTCTGCCTGTGTCTCTGCCTCTCTCTGTGTGCCTCTCATTCATAAATAAATAAATAAATAAATAAATAAATAAATAAATAAATAAATAAATAAATAATCTTTTTAAAAAAAGTCATGGAAAGCATAGCATATGAATGCTTCATGTTCCTATGACTTTACGCCCCCACCTAGCATGTGATTTCTACTCCTCTTACCTCTTCCCTCCTCCTCAGGAATTTTTAAAACTTTTGAATAAATAATACATGCCCATGGTTCAAAAGGTGCATTGTTTTTGTTTTTGTTTTTTTTTTTTAAGATTTTATTTATTTATTCATGAGAGACACACAGAAAGAGAGAGGCAGAGACATAGGCAGAGGGAGAAGCAGGGAGCCAGATGTGGGACTCTATCCCGATCCCGGAATTCCAGGATCATGCCCTGAGCTGAAGGCAGACGCTCAACCACTAAGCCACCCAGGCATCCCCAAAAGGTACCTTGTAATGTAATTCCTTCTCACTCCCATTTCCAGTTACCTAGTTCCTTTCCCCAGGCAACCACTGTTACAGTTTATTTTCTGTTATTCTGGACATATTTCTTGCATTTGCAAATACATAGCATAGAGTTTAATTTTCTTCCCACCCAAGTGGTAGCATAGTGTACATACAGCATCATGCATTTTGCTTTTTTCTACTTCACTTGGAAATCATTCCACATCTGAATGGAGTGAGGGAAAAACAAACAAAAAATAAAACAGAGCAGCTTCATTTTTTGTAACGGATGCACCCTTTTTCTTGAAATGGATGATTTATTTAACTGGTTTTCTACTGGTAGGTGTTTAGGTTGTTCCATTCTTTTTCTTATATAAATGATGCTGTATCTGAATATTTTTGTATGTATGTCATTTTGCACATGTGGAAGTGTATTTATAAGGTAAATATATGGTTGTTGAATTCCTGGGTCAAAGAAAATGTGCATTTATCAGAGTATAAAAAGGAATTAAGCAAAAATATCCTTCTACCTTATCTCCCATTTACTCAGTTTCCCCCCACATAAGCAATAGGAATTTAAATTTCGACTCTTTTTGGTGTTTACAGATTATTATACGCTATATGTACTGACCTTAATATATCTTGGAGAACTTTCCATATGAGTACAATAAAGTACATTCTTTCTTGTGGCTGCAGCATGTTTACAAATCATAGAGAGATTGATTTTTTCTTTTTAAAGATTTTATTTATTCATGAGAGACACAAAGAGAGGCAGAGACAGAGAGAGAGATGCAGACTCCCTGCAGGGAGCCAGATGTGGGACAATCCCAAGACCCGAGGATCATGCCCTGAGCCAAAGGCAGATGCTCAACCACTGAGCCACCCAGGCATCCAGAGTTGATTGATTTTCAAGGATGGGCTCACAGGATTGCGGAGACTTGGGAAGTCTATAATCTGCAGAACTGGGTTACCTAGGTGGCTCAGTTAAATGTCCAACTCGATTTCAGTTCAGGTCATGATTTTAAGGTTGTGAGATCAAGCAGGCTCTGTGCTCAACAGGGAATTTGCTTGAGGATTCTCTTCCTCTTCGTTTGTCCCGTCCCCCCCACTCCACCCCCGCCACCAAACTCATACACACTCTCTCTCTTTTTTTTTAAGATTTTATTTATTTATTCATGAGAGACACAGAGAGAGAGGCAGAGACACAGGCAGAGGGAGAAGCAGGCTCAATGCAGGGAGCCCGATGTGGGACTCGATCCCGGGTCCCCAGGATTACAACCTGAGCCAAAGGCAGATGCTTTAACTGCTGAGCCACCCAGGCATCCCACACTCTCTTTCAAAGAAATAAATAAAATCTTTTTATTTTTTTAAGATTTTATTTATTTATATTCATGAGAGACAGAGAAAGAGGCAGAGACACAGGGAGAAGCAGGCTCCATGCAGAAAGGACAGCGTGGGACTCGATCCCAGGACCCTGGGATCACTACCTGATCCAAAGGCAGACACTCAACCACTGAGCCACCCAAGTACCCCTTCCCTCCCCCCTTTTTTAAAGATTTTATTTATTCATGAGAGACACAGAGACATAGGCAGAGGGAGAAGCAGGCTCCCTGTGGGGAGCCTGATGTGGGACTTGATCCCAGGACCTCGGGATCACGCCCTGAGCCAAAGGCAGATGCTCAACCACTGAGCCACCCAGGCACCCCACTAGACAGATTCTGATGAAAGAGCTCCTTTCCCTGCCCAATTCAGGCCTTCCTGTCCCGCCTGGGTCACAACAGTGGCTTCCTGATGGCCCCGCCCATCTTCAACCTCATAGCTTCTGCAATCTGACCTGTTTCCTGTGTGAGCATTCTTAGGGGCAAGTCTCATGTGAGCAGACAGATCCAAATGCTCATAACTGCATGGTATCTAGGGTAAAGCCCAAACCTCGTAGCACACCAAACCCTCACAGTCTGGCCCTGCCTATACCTTGTACCCCTCCATCTCCCTTTTGTCCTGGCATGTATCCTGTACAAGAGTGGCTGGTCTATCAGACTGATGACAGCTGCCAAGCCATGAGGCCATCTGCCTCTTTTCCTCTTGGGCCTATGGTGCTTGCCCATGCTTCAAGATATAGCATCCAGGGCAGCCCTGGTGGCTCAGCGGTTTAGCACTGCCTTCAACCTGGGGCCTGATCCTGGAGACCGGGGATCGAGTCCTGCATCAAGCTCCCTCCGGGGAGCCTGCTTCTCCCTCTGCCTATGTCTCTGCCTCTGTGTGTGTGTGTCTATCATGAATAAATAAATAAAATCTTTATTTTTTTTTAAGAATCTATTTATTCATGAGAGACACAGGCAGAAGGAGAAGCAGGCTCCATGCAGGGAGCCTGACATGGGACTCAGTCCTAGATCTCCAGGATCATACCCCAGGCTGAAGGCGGCACTAAACCGCTGAGCCACCAGGGCTGCCCATAAATAAAATCTTAAAAAAAAAAAACAAAAAAAAACCAAAAAAAAACGTAGCATCCAGAGCACTTCTGAGGGCCTCCCCTGACATCTCCAGGCCATGATAAGGAGATCTGGCCTCAATTAATACATCTGCTACAGAACCTGGGAGTGAGGCTCTGGAGTTAAAATGCTCGGTTCTAGTCCTGCCTCCTCTGATTTCCAACTGTGTGACCTCAGGCAAGTTCCTGATCTCTCAGAACTTAAGTTTCCTCATTTGTGAAATGGGTATAGTTCTTGCCTCACAGGGCTACTGGGCAGATCCGGATGCCTGCTCAACTAAGTGAGCTATTCATTATCAAATTGTCATTTCTTTCCAGGATTCTCTTCCCCCATAGGCTGTGAGCATCTTGATAAGATTTGTTTTTCAGCTCAGTGACCCTAACACTTGGCATCAATAAGCTCCTCTACTCCCCACCCCCACCTGGTCACTGGTCCTGTTGACCAATGAAATGAAATGAGGCTGTGTGTAGATCCTCCATGGCAGGACTGTTAACCCATCTACCTAGCTTTAGAGTACATCTGGGGAAGTTAGTTTGATCGTTGGTTAGTTTTAACAGAGATCATACAGATAAATCTTGAGTATAAGGCAGCCAGCCACTCTGGGCACCCATCTTCCAAAAGCCATCTTCCACCAGCAGCTGAGTTCCTTGGTCTGTGATTCCACAAATGCTCTTGTGCCAGAGCTCTGTTCCTGTGGGAGTGGGGCGATAAACTGCATGCACAGATAACTGACACTTTATCTTTTCAGCACCTCTATTTCTGTGCAAAAAGAAAGTATATCCTCACTCCCATTTGCACTGGTTCAGATTTCATTATGAACTCCAGGAACCCCTCCAGTCACTTTTATTGTATTGGAATCTTGTCACAAATATAATCTATTGAATCAGGGGTATTGATCAAGGCCTTTAGATGGTTAGGTAGGGATTTTGCTGCAATGCTGGGGGATTTGAGCAGGGTCTTCCTTAGTATGAGCACTTCATCTTCGCATCGATTCACTCTTGTTCCTATTCAGCCTCGAAATCTGTCTGTTAGCCTAGTTTTTGGCTGCAGGTCATTCTTATTTTGTATTTTATTTGCTTTTGGAGCACAGTGTTCATTAAGATGGCAATGGTCAGACCAAGAGAAGATCAACCAGAAATACTTGTGTTCTTTCCCTGGAGGAAAAAGGACTGTCCTGGGGTAGAAGAAATATTTACAACTTGGATCTGACAGAGTTTCTTTTTATTCTGGTGATTTAAACAACAACAACAAAACCAAACTGGTGATGACCAGGAAAATCCCCAAACAGTCCAAGTGGTCAGCTGCTCCACAGTGGGACCAGCTGCCTCACACAGGAACATTTGCTAGAGTGTAGAAATGGCCTTTCCAAAGGGCAGATAACCCAACAACAGATATCTTCCTTTTTTTTTTTTTTAACAGATATCTTCCTGAAGCATATTTAGTCTTTTCTGGATTGCATTTTTTTTTGTTATATTTCACAAAGATACTTCAGAATTTCTATGAAAAGCATTACAGATAATGTCTGATGGATGAAACCTTGTATTTGGATGGTACTATAGTTTTGTGTTGCCTCTTTTTTCCTTTTTTTTTCTTTTTTGAGGGGAATCAAGTTTTTTTTTGTGTGTGTGTGGGGGGGAATCAGGTTTATTAAGGCATAACTTACATGCAGTAAAACTCTTTTTGGTGGGCAGCCTGGGTGGCTCGGTAGTTTAGCCTTGGGCCCAGGGCCTGATCCTAGAGTCCCAGGAT